GGGATGCAATTCTCACTGGTTTCATTCCTTCAGACAAGGCTAAGGCTTCTTGCATGTTTGGGCATCCTGACTGCTGGAAGGAAGCTTCTCCAGCTCAGAGTGCAGCTCTTCCCACTGGACATGATCACTGTGTTGATGCTCTGTCTTATGGCTCATCACTATCTCATTTTATCCACGCCATCTAGGTGTTATATATTGTCCTCCACAAGCAGAAGTTTCCAATGAAGTTGTCATAGAATCATTGAATAATTTGGGCTGGAAAGGACATTAAATACCACCCAGTTCTACTCTCCCTTACCATGAGCAGGGACACCATCCACTAGATCAGGCTGCCCAGCTAACAACATGTCCTTCAATACCTCAGTTTTCTATTCCCTCATATACCCTTTGAGTAAAGAATTCCTTCCTTATACCTATACCTACCCCTTCTGAATTTTTAAACTGTTACCTCTTGTCCGGTCACTACACTTTCTGAAGGAGTCCTTCCTCCTCTTTCCTGTAGGTTCCTTTTGTGTGTTGGAATGGTTGCAATGAGCTTGCTTCAGAGACTTCACTTCTCAAAGCTAAAATAACCCCAACTCCCTCAGTTCATAGAAGAGGTGCCCAAGCCATCTGATTATCTGTGTGGCCCAGTTTCTTGGTTTTGTTCCACTGCTGAATTTTCTCAGGCAGTGTTTCCCTGGGGTTGCTGCTGCTGCATTCTCTTTGCTCTCGGAGATCCAAACCATTCCATGACAAATCTGAAGTCAGGGAGGCACTGCCAAAAGATCCATAGCTGGTCCAAGGAAACAAGACCCAAATTTACATACAGTTTTTAGCATGTTTTTTTGTTCTGTGTGACAGTCAAAGGATGTTCAGTGTTCTGATAATACCGAGAATACCGAGGAACATCTCTTAATCAAAGCATGAGTTAAAAAAATCTTCAATGACAGTAACAGACTTTATTGCTAATAATGGCAACCTTTCAAACATCCTTGCCTACACAAAAGTTTTGAATACAGGTGTATGATCTTTATGGTGAAAATACTTTTCTTTCACATGCAGTGACTATCATGCAATGGCACCTCACTTCAAACCATTCATTAATTTGAGTTTCAGATATCAGAGTTTTTGATGGTACTCCAATGCTTGGTCAGATTTAACCTTTAGAAAATGGAAGACTGCTCCACATTGCCTTTCTCTACCTAGACTGGTCAGTTAAGACAATCTTGTCAATACAAATAAGGATTTATGCTCAGTTGTGGCTGTGCTGCCTTGTAACTTGAAATCCACCATCAAATTATAGAGCATACTAACTCTTTTTTTTAGAACAGGGACAATCTGATCTTGATGTTGTTTTCATTTTTTTTCCTCCACCTTTCAAGTCTAATTCTAATTTCTTGATAACTAGTAACACCCATGTCACCTTTGAAATCAAAGACAGTCAGCAGGGGGTTGGAAAAAGATGATCTTAAAGGTACCTTCCAACCCAAACCATTCTATGATTCTGTGATTCCATGATCTTGTAGGAGGACATAAGGAATTTATCCCAAGCCCATGGGAAATCTGAGGACTTCTCCAACATGTCAGAAGTTATGGTCATACTTGGATCATTGCACTTTGTCAATGAGCAAAACAGTAGAAGCCTACAGCTTCAGCATCTCCTAAGGAATAGGTTAGATTTTACCAGGCATTACAGTATATCATCATTGTCAAATTACTGGATCAGCTGAAGAAGGAAAATAACCAAAAATACAATCAGGAAAACAAGCAGCCCAAGTGAAATAACAAGTGGAGATTTTATGGACTGAAGTGCAAGTGGTTCACACGGATCCATCATGCCAAGCAGAAGTGTCGCTCCATGTTCCTAAGCTGGTGTCCTTCAGAGGGGCAGAGCTGTCTGCATCGTTTCGTGGTGGGTGATTTGTTTCTACCTGTAGGTGTGTACTGGAGGCTTCTACAGACTTAAACACAAGTCTCCTGTTTGGAGAGCTACAGCCCACACAAGGGGCTGTCCTGACAATGGAATGCCCATCTCCAGATCATGGCCAACAACAGCATTGGCTTCAGAAAGGTGCTGCTCAGACATCTGAACTCTGCTGGCAGGTTCAGCTGGACAGCAAACTGTGACACTGTGATAGAGGCCGCTCACACACTGCACTACATAGCAGGTGTTCTCCTATTTCAAGCAAGTGAGTGCATGTGTTACCACCAGGAGGGGAACCCACAGTTCTGGGTTGATAACAGCCCTAACCCATCAATTGCTTCACTGCATAATTTCTAAATTATTTGGGAAGAAGGTGTTAAACAACACATCTTAAAATACGTGCTGTGGGTCACAACTGCATTGCTTTTATTATGTGTTAATTTAGGATAGAGTAGGTTTGAATTCTCAACTGCAAACAACAGAAAATAAAGTTCTATGGAAACATTAAAGCAAATCCTGCAGCACTCAGAAGGGCCAACATCCTCTGGGGTCTGTGCTGCCTTATTGCTGAGTGGTTCTGCTTGTGTTTGCAGACATGGAATGAAACAGCTCATGATTTTTATTTCACCTGCACACTGTTTTAGAGGGTAGGTGTATGAGCACATTTTTACTGATCAGTGTTGAAGCTGTGTCTGGACCTTTTTTGGCTTCCTACAGTGCAGAAAAGATTCACTAACAAATCTACATGGTGGAAGAGGAAGAAGGAACCTTCCTAAGCACTCGAGAACATTTTCTGTGAAATCCTTTCAGTGATGTGCAGTGGGTGACACTTGAGTTAGTCCAGGACCATGTTGTGGCTATGGGCCCAGGGTCCCCTGGTCTGCAGCACAATGGATGGAGTGGTCTGTTGGAGCTGGTCCTCAAGCCTTACATCAACAGCAAAATAATGGATGCTGCCAAAAGTGCTGGGAGTAAAGGGAGAAGCTGTTGACGAACCAGATGAAGAACAGAGAGATGTGAAGATGTGAAGGGGAGAAGTATGAGATGGGCTGATTGGAAAGAGCACAGTGGCCGGGAATGGAAAAAGAGAAACAGGTCCAAGGGTGTGGGTGTGGATGGCTGGGGTAAACAGAAGGTAAAAAGAAAAATAAAGGGGGGGGGGGGGAGCACAGGAACAGAAACAAGCAATGCAGTTGTGTGAGAGGAAACAAAAGATGGGCCAGTGTGACAAGCCATCCTGCTGGGAAGCTAATGGGTAACAGCAGCGAGGGCGTGGAGAGGAGGAGAAGGATGGGAGATTCCATAGCCTGCTGGCAGAGGGACCCCCGGCACTCCAATGATGAAAGGCAGGACATCAGTGTCAGATATTTCTGCTGGGACCAGGGACTTTTCTTGGAGGCTCAGAGTTGTTCCACAGGCCTGTAGTGGCCAGCACAAAGAAGGCAATTTCTGCCTCCTGTACATTACCATGGGAAAAGGTCTTCTCGATGGACAAGTGCATTAACAGGGAGATTAGCTTTTGGTTGGGTCTCTGAGGGGAATTCATTCCAGTCATCTCAGCTCCAACAGTGGTAGCAGGACAGACCTCAAGACCCAACTCAACAGCCTCAGTTTTGTGCACAGATCAGTTTGGTATCAGTGGTGGCTGTTGTGCAAACTGCAAGCCCAATGAGATTGATTTGAGTTCAGAACATTAGCAGGGAGAAATCTAAAAAGAAAGAGAGAAAGAAAAAGGAGAGAGAGAGAGAGAGAGAGAGAAGAAGGAAAACCTGCTTCTAATTCAGATTACAAAGTGCCAGTGGTTATGGCACACAAGGACCAGCATTCCTGGCTTCTGCTCTAGCTGATGCAGAGCTCATTGTGCATTAAGAGAGAAGCTGCCACTGAACAAAACAATTGAGAGGGCTTCACGAGGTGACACAAGTTTTGTTTTGAAGTTACTTGCACCCAGCTGTAGCTTGGCAGGCCCCCCCGTAGGTACAAGGGGTGTGCGATGGGTCCCTGATTGCTGTGGGACTGAGGAGATGATGTGTGAAAGATGTAAGGAATGAGGCTTTTGGGAGGCAAGTACTCAGAAACCCACTTTGGCTGCACCTTCCCTTTTTTCTCTTTATCTCTTTTCCACTTTTTACCTCCTCCTTCCCCTTTATCACCTCTTTGAAAGGGTTGATAACAGCAGGACAAGGGGAAATGGTTTGAAGTTGAGGGAGGGAAGATTTAGGCTGGATGTCAGGGGGGGAGTTCTTTACGGAGAGAGTGGTGAGGCACTGGAACAGCTGCCCAGATCCTTGGAGGTGTTCAAGGCCAGGTTGGACGGGGCCATGGGCAGCCTGGTGTGGTATTAAATGTGGAGGTTGATGGCCCTGCACGTGGCAGGGGGCTGGAGCTTCATGATCCTTGAGGTCCCTTCCAGCCCTGGCCATTTTGTGATTGTGTGATTTTTCCCCTTCCCCTTCCTTTTCCCTTTCCCTTCTCTTTTCTTTCCTCTCCTTGTCTCCCTTCCTCTTGCCTTCCCTTTCTTTCCTTTTCCTTTTCCTTTTCCTTTTCCTTTTCCTTTTCCTTTTCCTTTTCCATTTCCTTTTCCTTTTCCTTTTCCTTTTCCTTTTCCTCTTCCTCTTCCTCTTCCTCTTCCTTTTCCTTCTCCTTCTCCTTCTCCTTCTCCTTCTCCTTCTCCT